ATCTGCAACCCCCAAGACCTGGTACACACGGAACCAGTGAGAGGCCTCTCACCCATCGCCTGTTGTTCAGGGCCACCCTAAGCCCAGAGAGGTCTTTGGGAAACAGTGGCTGTCTGGCTATGAATCTTCCTAGGAGCCTTCTTTGGGCCAGGTGGCTCACCCCCTCACCAGGCCCCTTTCTGCTTCTGTGTCTCAGAACTGTCATCTCTAAAGTTGAGGTTCATATTGAGGACTTGGTAAGCTGACAGCATGGAACAGTAGTGGCCAAGTGTGTCACCTGGCCTCCATGACATGGCGAGAGCTCCAGCCCATTCCCAAAGCCCTTCCTTGTCTGCTGTCCTCTTACGTGAGGCAGCTGGCTCCTGGGTCCAGCTCCAGTCTTGATTCTGAGTCTCCCCTGGAAGTATTCCCCAGTAGATCCCACACCCTCCTTTATCCAGGTCTGAGTGTCCCACAAGCCCAGAGTGGAGGTATGCCAGGAGCAGGAACAGAAAGGGATGTACAAATGACGTGGTCTAGCCACACACCATTCAGCCACTTCAAAGCCTGGAGTGCCGCCCGCCCACCCTCTCTTGCATTCCCAGCCAGACAATCCAGTCAGAGATGAGTCACAGCAGGAAAAAGCTTGAGTGTTTGATGCTGGGCTCAGAGAGAGACAGAGGCAGGCAGGGCAATGGTGACCTGGAATGGGCCCACACTCTCCAGGACAAGTGGGGTGCGCTCCCTGCAGACTGAAAACCATGGTCTCAGCCACCTGAGCCAGGCTTGTTCAGCTGCTCTCATCACTATGCCACGGCTCTGTTCACATGCAGGGACCCGGGTGGGTACTAGTACACACGGACACCATGCATCTAGCCCCTTTCTCCTGAGGACTACAACAGAGTTTTGCCCAAACAGAATGTCTGATGAACCAGGCGGTGGTTTTCCCGTGGGTCACTTGGAGATTCTCTAGTGGGCAGAGGGAGGAGAAAATAGACTGGGAGGTTGAACATCTTGCTGCTTCTTTAGATTCCAAAGAACCCCTCTTGAAGGCTAGGGTTATAGGTCAGGAAAAGAGTGTTTGCCTATCATGCATGGGGCCCTAGGTGCAGTGGCACACATCTGTAACCCAGTGTTCAAAAGGCTGAAACAGGAGGGTCTTGAGTTCAAGGCCAGCGTGGGCTATATAGGAGACGTGGCCTTAAAAAAATAACAAGAGAAACAAGAAAAGAAAATTTCATATGATAAGAAAAGCCATTCCTTATGTTGCCAAGGATCTGAGGGGACCCTTTGCAAGCCCGGATGAGATGGGTGCTGGGAAAGTGCAGCCAGAGGCTATGTGTAAAGTGCTAGCTGTGGTCCACAGTGCAGGGAATGGTGGCCCTGGCTGTGACAAACATCAGTGTCACAATAGGCAACAGGATATATGGAGATGATGGACTCTGTACAGAGAAGGCCTGCCTCTTGGCATGTGGAGCATTACTTGAAGGCTCTCTCTACATAGTACCGTATGTTAATATCAGGCATAGGTTGGCTTATCCTAACATTCCAGATACTTTTGAAAATGTCCTTCAAACTGAGTCCCAAGCTAGTGCGTACAGACCATACTGACCTCCCATGTTCCCAAGATGCTCTGTGTTTAGGATCATTTAGAGTTGGTGTCAAGGATGTCCACATGCTGGGGAAGCACCCCCATTGTTAGTGATCTGTTACCAGCAGTCAAGGAAGCCTCACAAAGAGATCTTGAAAGCTGGGATTTGATGGCACCATGGAAGTTCTCCAAGTAGATGGGCCAAGAGCAGTATGCTAGGGAGAGAAAACAGCCCCAAAGTCCAAGAGACCCACTGTAGCCTGACCATGGGCTAACAGAACACCAAGGGCCGCAGATCTCCAGGGATGCCACAGGTAGTAACTGAGGGGTACCAGGAGTGGCAGGGTCCCTGTGTACACAGCTCTTCCTTGATCTCTTGTCTGTGACCTTGAGCAAGCCACCACCTCAAGCTTCTGTTTGCTCATCTGCAAAATTAAAATGATAGTCCTCATCCCTAAGGTCCTGTCCCAATAGGGCAGGTGACTCTAGGTGGCACTTAACAAGTGTTCGGCTAATGTGAACCACATGTGTAGAGCCATGTGTCCCCAAAGTCTCCTACATAGGACTGTCTACCTGAGCTGTTGACCACATGTAATACAGGAATTCTTAGGCCCTGGACTGTGAGACATCCATCCTCCCCATACTCTGAGAATCATCAGCCTTCACCTCAGAGTCTCCAGGGTCAGTGAGAGGAAACAGTGGCTCCAGGGAGTCCTCCCAGAGAGGTGGCACCCTGAGGGAAGCCCCTCAAGAGAAGATGATCTGCACCTCTCCATGGCATCTGGTGTCCCAAGGAGCAGCGCTTCAGGAAGTACCTTCAGCATGCACTTATTAAACTCCTACATTTTGCCAGTGCGCTGGAGAGTTAGGAAGACCCCAGGGCTGTGGATGCTGGAGTGAGTAAAGGTGTAGGGGAGCTGTGGAAGGGGTTTGAGCAAGGGATTGACACATCCATTTTGTCTTTAAAAGAGATTTCTTCAAGGACTGGAGAAATGGCTCAGTGGATAAGAGGCTTTCTCTGTAAGCATGAGGACCTGACTTAGGATCCCAGAACCTGCATTTAAATAAAAAAAAAGGTCAGGCGTGGCCATGTATGCTTATAACCCCAAATCCCAAAGCTGGGGTGGGGATAAAGACAGGATCTCTGGGGCTTGCTGGCTCCAGGTTCAGTGAGAGACTGTGTTTAAAGGGAATGAGGTACAGAATGCTAGAACAGGACACCTGATGTCTTCCTCTGGCCTTCACACACATACAGGCATGCAAAGCATGTATGTGTGCACATATGTGCATACACACACACACACACACACACACACACACACACACACATCTCTCTGAAGCAATAGGATGAGTTGTCAGCTCACTCACATGCCCTCCTTAACATACACATGTGTGAGTTGTGAGCTCACTCACATGCCCTCCTTTGCATACACATGTGTGAATATATACACACAGACATAGTACCCTCTGTACATCCACAAATGGGAATGCAGACATCAGTTCTCCTCACGTGTAATCTTCGAAAGCAGAGGTCACAGGCCTTAAAGTTCTTCTTTAATCTTCTGGTGTGTGATTGGTTCTCTTAGCAGCCTGGGAGCTCACCTCCTACCCTCCCTCCCTAGGTCAAAACTCTCCCATGGTTTCTATGGAGACCAAGAGTGGATGTCAGGCCAGCCTAGGTTCACACTGGGAAAGCTGAATAGTGTTGAGAGGTGAGTGGCAAGTCACTGCTTACAGAGGTGTCCCCAGATCAGCTGCATTCCTCCTGCCTCCACGGAGAACAAAGAGAGCACCGGGAGACCTGTCACACATGCCAGGTGCTTCTGAAGCTTCTTCCAAGCTTATCCCAGCTTTCCCAGGAAGGATATGAGGTTCAGGGAGGTGAAGCGCTTTGGCCAGAGTCAATGCCAGGAAGTGGCTGCATTGACTTTAGTATTAAGGGATCAAGGAGAAGAGCAAGGCAGCTCACAGACAGTTCCCTTGTTCACTTACTAAACAGAAATGCTAGTGTTTCCATGCATTATGCTCAGTCAATGGGTTCCATCCAAACTCTGTGCCTGTTTGGAACAGAAAACACCTGTGGAAAGGAGCTCTTGAATGAGGTGAGGCTGAGAACCTCTGGATGCGACTCCCACAGGTAACTTCTGGCCACATGGTGTGACCCCAGCGTCAGGGAAGCTGGTGGCCTCTGAGACTGGCTTCCCCTGGACTCAGCACCCATGGTCCTACTCAGTCACCCCCAAAAGTGCATTTTGGGGGGCTGGAGAGATGGCTCAGAAGTTAATAGCCCTGGCTGCTCTTTCAGAGGTCCCAGATTTAGTTCCCAGTGCCTGTATGGTGGGTATGGTGGCTGACAACTGTCTGGAACTCTACTTCCAGGGGACTCAAAGTCTTCCCCTGGCCTCTAAGAGCAGCAGGTGCACAAGTGGACACAGACATATAGGCCGGCAAAATGCCCATCCACATAAAATAGTAATAAAATTCTTAAAGTGAATTTTAGTTTCTGAAGTCAAATGTGCCTCTTGATAAGAAGTATAAGCCCACATTGTATCCTTTGGGAACACACAAGGAGGGATTGACTGGGTTTAGATCTTTAGTGGCATGAGAGGATGTTGCTCTGAAGATGTTTCCCTTGTAAAGGAGTGTTAAGGTAACCGGGCATAGCCCAGCTATGCTGAAAATCCAGGTGTCACACAGAGTTCATATAGAGACAGACTGGGGTAGGGAAGAGGCATTTTCCTTCCACTGGCTTTTATTTCTAAATTGGTGACCTAATGTGTTAGGCACTTTCCAAAGGGATGTGCTAGCTGCTGGGAGCATGAGAGAGAAACAGATCTGGAGTCTCACCCCCAGCCTGGCCTGTGGGTGCTGTGTGACCTTGGCCAGGCTACAAGACTTCTCTGAGCCTCAATTTCCTCATGTACAAAATGAGGAGGAAAAGGGCACTCTTGGTACTTAGAGCGAAACCATAATACAGTTTGAGTCAGGGAACAGCCTCCCAAAGCCAGCCACAAAGCCTCAAGCAAGCTTCTCTCTCCTCTGGGTGTTTTGTCCTATGAAATGAGGACTTTGAACCAGTCTTTAAGGATCCTTCCAGCCCTGACAGCCCTAAGACACTCAGGATGCTATAGTCTATGGAGGATGTGGGAACAGTGAGTTTTCCACAGTAGAACTCCATGGCACCACATTCCCATTCCAGGGTCCACCCAAAAGAGAGATCCACCCTCCAAACATCACTGTGACCCCACACCCACTCACTCTACCCCTGTACCCACACCCCATACCTTATAGCCCAGGGATCCCAGACTAGGAGCATGTTCACAAGTCCCACCCCACCAAGTGATGGTTCAAGTGATGATGTAAACACACAACCTGTAGACATGGTGGGTGCTATAGGTGTCCCATCACCTGCCTGTTTGTGTCTCCACAGGTGAGTGGAGGGGCTGTCCCCTTAAGAAGTCAGAGCTGTGCTCGTGGGCAGGCTGGCTCCGCTGTTCTGCTCCAAGGATTACATGTCCTTCAAACGCCCTTGCCCCTGTAAGTCTCTTCCTTGTCCATCACTGTCGGGGTCTAGCTACCGCAGAACTACAGGGTGGAGTTGTAAGGATGGCATTGGGATATTTGGCCAAGGCACTGAGGGGAGTCTGACTGGGCTAGTGTGGAGAGATTTGGGGGTTGGGGTGTAGAGGGAAAACACAGGCCATCCTAACATCCATAGTGGGCTCCTTGGAAACTGAAAGTCACATTTTGTCCTGTTCCCAAAAGGTAGATCAAGTTTCCTCTGAAACATAGTGATGCATTCTCCCCCACCCTCAATGCCATGGCCAAGTAACTGTGGGAAGTATTGGATGAGACATGTTAGTAACATTTTTGCCACTGTCAGCCTTTTCAGGGTCTTTTGTGTGTGGTTTCTGTGGGAAACAAAAGTCTTAAGTTCTTCCTACACTTAACTACCCACAAACAATGCTTCATGGATTTGGGTCCTACAGAACAGTTCCTTGAGGCTGACTGCCCTAAGGAAATTCACCCCATAGCTCTCACCAGAAAGCCCCCACTGTCTGAAGAAAATGCATGGTTTTGCCTTCAAGAGTCTTCTCGTGATGCCCCAATGTGAGGAGTCCATGGGTAGACTAGCCAGATGCCCTCTTGGAACTCAAGACAACAGCCTCCCTAGACCCTTCGAGTTGGCCTTCACCCTCTCAGGCAACCTTCATGGCTCCACAGCAGAACGTGCTTTCCTTCATTACACCCCTGAGCTCCCCAATCCGGCATCACTTATAGTTTGGGGAGCATGCCTAACTGCCTATCCTTTGTTGAGAAGTCATGGCTGTGTGTTGAGGTGACATCAGAAGTCTACCGCCTGATGCCTTGGTGTCCACACTCACTGGATGACCCGTACCTCACCTGTCACTAAGGTCTGCTTATGTTTCTACCACTAGTCTGTGCTGTCCTGGGCTGAGCCCATCTCTCTCACATAGTCACAGCCCCAGAGGCTAACACCTGGAATACTGAGGGAATGCCAGTGAAGGAGAGAGGAGGAGCCTGCATGTCCCATGCAGGTGGATTCAGTCAGAATCTGGGCAGAGTCCTCACCACTTACGTTGCAGGGTAGAGGCTGGCTGTGGGCTCCTCTGCCAAGAGTATAACTAGATGTGGTGAAGCTCAGGCAAGTGCTGGCCACCGAGGGGAGGAAAGGGGAGGGAAATGGTCAGTGCGACTATTTCTGATGGAGTTCACAAACACAGACCCTCCAGATCACTGTTATCACTGCTGGGGCAGAATCTGGAAATGAAAGCTCCTTCCTGTCCCAGGACAGCTGCTGTTCAAAGCCTGGGGATACCTGTCCTGCAGAGGACTAATATGGCTGTGTTCTTACCCCCTCTCTACTGGTGAGACCAGGGAACTGGGAAAGAAGGAGGCTAGGAATGCTGAGTGTGGCAGGCTTTCTAGAACTTGAGAGCCTGGATTTTTGTGCTAATAGAGGCCATGGCCTCCAAACAGCTCCCCCTCCTCTTGAGGACTCAAGGTTATGGTCACAGATATTATAGGGCACGAGAAAACAGTGTGTGAATGTTTCCAGGCCACTTCTCCCACCTGCTACCTGACAGGCCTAATGCCTGGCATACAGTAGGCACCTAATAAGTGCATTTTTATGAATAGTTCCATAGTCAAGCACTGTGGGTGAGGAGCTGCAGGCAGCTATGGGGAATGGAAAGTCTCAAAGCTCCCCTAGCCTATCTGGGCCATACAGCCCTGCCTCTGAGATGAAGGGGTGTCTGAGCCCCTAGGCCTCCAAGAGCTTGGAATACTGTGGGGCTCCATGGAGCTTCTTTGCCTCCCATTATCCAATCAACTTTTTCCTTTTCTTCAAAGTCACCTGAGAATTGCCCCATCTTTTCCCGCATACTCGTTTACTTCACCACAGCATCCGTCTCCTTGCCTAGACCCATACCCCACCCATTTGCATTTGCTGAGTCCTGTCCACCATTTCCAAAGCTCAGTTGTATCTGACTTTGTTGGTGGCTTCCACCTTCTTGACTCCTGACCCCTCCTAGGTTCTTCCAGCCACTCTGTTTGCCCATCCTGTGTGTCATGGCCCCTTTGGCAGTGGAGGAGGGCAGCTGTGCCTTTCCCTGTTGCTGAGCCCCAGGGTCCAGCCCAGCCCCTCTTCTTGTTCTGCACAGCCAGATTCATCCTCACTCTGCTGGTCTGCTTCTGGCTGCAGCCCCTGGGCTGGCATTTTCCAGACTGTCTGTCCCAGCTTCTCCCAGGTCTTGGGAGGTATTGGGTGTGGTGCTTAAAAATCAGGGGCCAGGCACGTGGAGCACACCTGTAACCCTAGCACTTGGGAGGATCATCACTAGCTCAAGGCCAGTCTGGGCTACAGAGTGAGATTTTGTCTCAAATTTTTAAAACTTAAAAATAATAAAGAAAATAAATATTTATGAGGAACCCCAGGAGTGGCCATATGGGGCCACATGCCCCTTCTTTTTAACACCTCTTTTCCAGTCTAGAGCTGCTCTATGCAGTGAGAAACCTGGCAGAGACCACCATGCCTTACTTAGCTCACCCGATTTTCTTGCCAGGTTGTGCAGAGATGCTGCAGCCATGAAACCTGGAAAATTCAGAGTAGGAGACAGTTTGTTCCTGTTCACATCTCCGCACCCTTCTCCCCTATGGTTTAGAAATGCAACCCACAGAAGGAAAACCAAGCCCAAAGTTTTCCCGAAGAAAGACCTCCATCCAAGAGTCAGAGCTTGTGAGGTCTGCAGAGAGCGGACGGCTCTTGGTTGCCTGGGGCAGAGGGCAAGGTGGTATCCAAAATGGCACTAAGCCACCCCTGAAAACAGATCTGCCAGCACCTGTGGACACTAGAGATGTGGCATGCTTCTCTGGCTTTCTGGGAGTTGGGCAGGCCTCAGCCATAAAGGGCTGGACTGTAGGTCTATTGCCTCCCAACCCCATCTCCAGATACCTTGGCTCGTCTCTGCCCTTCGTGGGGCACCACCAGCAGTTCTCCAAAGCAGCCCCATTGGGAAGTTAAGACTGAGGCAGAAAGACAGCGAGAACAAGAAAGAGGAAGACAGGGAAACCCTGTCAGGGAAGCCTGGAAGCCTTCTGGCCACGTGGCTGGAAGCAGAAAGGGAGTTCCTCTGCTTGAAGCCATGTCTGTGAGCCTTTCCCAGCCTGCTGAGGCCTTGCCTAGAGCTCTGAGTGTGGAGGAGGTCTGGTGTTCCTCAGGAAGGCTGGGGGGTGGGGGAATGGGTTCCATCTGGCCCCTGCTGGGCAGAACATTCCAGGACTCCCTGGGGACCCAGGCTCTAAGCACAGATGCCACACATCCTCTTCATTGTCTTCTAGCAGATGGCAGCACCATGTAGCTCCCTGTGTGGTGGGGGCAGGCTGCTTCCCTATGGCCTCTGGGGATAGATCTGAAGAAGGAGGGTTTTTTTTTGGGGGGGTGCTGGAGACTAAACATGTAGCAATAACAAAATGAAGGAGGGGGAGATGTGCCCCACAATCTATGGAGAAGTCGTGTAGGCACACCATTGTCAAGTTCATGATGGCTGTCCAAGACTTGGCCTGAACCTACAGCCTGGCAAGGCCCCCTAGGCCAACTTTCCCCCTTGGAGTGGAGGCAACATTGAGTTGGCGTATGTGAGCATCCTAGCACTGATGTTTGCCAGCTGTGTGAGCTAGGGCAAACTACTCATCTTCCCAAACCCTCAGTTTGCTCATCTATGAAATGGACATGGTGGAATCTTACAGTTTATTGCTCAGATTTGAGGGGCCACAGGGAGTGTTAAGCTTGGTATCAGGCTCTGAAAAGATGCTCAAGAAACCATCCCTCTGCCTATCTCAGTATTAGTCATGTCTTTAATGATGGAGATGGGAAAACAGAAGCTTGGGCTTTAGGGGTAAATTTGGGATTTGGACTGTGTTAGCTTTCTGTTGCTGTGACAAAATGCCTGAGATTATCAACTTAGAAGGAAGACAGGGGTATTTGGCTCATGATTCAGAGGTTTCAGCCCATGGCCAGTTGGTCGTGATACTTTGGAGCCTGTGATGAGGCAGAACATCATAGCAAAAAGCATGTGATAGAGGAAGCCCATTTGCCTCATGACAGCAAGGAAACACTTGAATTCCCAATATCCTCTTCAAGGGCATATCCCTGGTGACCTAACTTCCTCCTCCAAGGCCCCACCTCTTCAGGGTTTTACCACTGCACATCAACGCATGGGCCTTTGGGGGACATTCACAGGACGGTGGTCCTTTGCTCTGCTTGCTGTCACAGTTACCTCTGCTACTATCAACACAAGGAAGGATTTGAGGGCAAGAAGGGAAGATAAGGGAACACACTCAGCAATTCACCATTTCTGTATCCAGAGCAGACAGCACTAATCAATTACGGTACTCTTTCCCGACAAGCCTGGATGTAAACTCAGAGTCAGTCTAAATGCTTGCTGGTACTACCCAAAGATCACAAGTCTTTGTCCATCACTTGATGTAGCAAGGGACCAGGGGGAGGGGACTTTAGCCAGTTGTTTATCCCTGGGTCTCAGTTTCCTCACCTATAAAGTGGGAGTTCATAAAAGTATGCATGTTAGAGGGCTGCTGTGAGGACCCAAAGAGGTTTGGCTCAGAAAACCCTTATAAAGTCTTAGGATCCATATTTCCTGTGACCTCCTTGCTTCCTTGAAAAAATTCTACAAAGAAGGGTTAATGTGCCCATTCCACACATGGGGAAATCGAGGCTGAAAGAGGTAAAATAATTAGTTAAGATGCTACAGCTGGATGATGATGGGGTCAGACCAGAGTTAGGGTGATCAGGTCTCAGTTTTAGCTAAACCATGGCTGGATCGACATACAAGGTGGAACCCATTTTTTCCCACATAAAGCTAGGTGTGGTGGCATGTGCTTGTAATCCTAGCACTGGGGAGGTAGAGACAAGAAAATCCCCGGACTTTGCTGTCCAGCCAATCAATGAGCTCCAAGTTGAGTGAGACACCTCACCTCAAAAAATTAGAAAGGAATAG